TTGCCCTTCACTTTGAAAAAAAAGGGGGGGGGGGGGGGCGTGAAAAAACTTTCTTCAAAGCTCTTTTGGCTCAGTGCAGGAACAACAAACACTCTGCGAGTGTGGAAAAAAAGATGAAGATACCCAAAAGGTGCCGATAATGTAGTTTGAGCTCTGAAGACTGATGGTGTAGGACAGCAATGTCTTATTGAAGGAGGTTTCAACGCTCCATCACAAACAAGCGCGAGAAGTCACCAGCACCGCTGGCTGAAAGGTGAACAAAATCTGGTGTGGCTGTGCCAAACCCACTAAGTAAATTTCAACCACAGACTCTGGGTTTAGTGATAAAGAATGAACTCAATTTCGCTCTGAACAAAGAAGAAAAAGGAAGCATTTTAAAACACCCGCTTTCTCACTAAAAAAACCCAGTAATGAGAAACAGGGCTTCTGTCGTTCTTCATGTCGACACTCCTGGCAGCTTCTGCTGAGACTTTTCACCATTTTTATAACTATAAGAAGGGAAACTCCAAAGCCAGAAAAAAAAAAAGCAGGGCAGGTAACATCTGGAGATGAACTGCTCCACAGAACGCGTGTTTCTGCTTCTCCTCCCCACACACTGGCTGAGCGCTGAGAGAGAGGACCCTGACCTGATCACAGCTCCTCAAAAACTGGCCCAAGCAGCAGCACTGAGCCTTCGGCAGAGAACAGGGGAGGAGGAAAGCAGCGTTTCACTTAAAAACATTCCCGAGACATCGCGAGAAACATACGGGTAGCTTTAGATATAAAATTTACGGACAATACTGGCCTTATCAAAGAACAGCGCTTTGAAAACTAACACCATTAAAAGCTCTGAGATAGAATAAATCCAAGCAGCAACAAATCTGCTCTGTCCACTGTGAGAGGTGCCAGCCTCCCATGACCAGGACTTCAGACGGGTTATTTCCATGCTCAAAGCTGGCTGGCCTCGACGTCAGGCCCAACAATAAAGATGAGCTTTTGACTAACGCGCACTAGCACAAAGTACCCTTCTGAAACTTTGATGTTACCTCCTGGGTCCCTGTTGCTGGCATCCCACTCATTTTTTTATCCAAGGAGATGGGGAAAACCAGTTTAGCTGAACATGCACAGAATAACATCCCCCCGCCCCCGAACTCTCAACATACTTCTCGTGAATTTTCAGGACACGATGGACTATAGGAATTTCCCTTCCTTCTATCCTGAAGACCACGATTTCTCCCACTCTGATTGGATCTTCAATTCGGTTCGTGAGGAACAGGAGATCTCCTCTGTGAAACGCTGGCTCCATGCTTCCACTGAAAAAGAGAAGAGGAGAGGTCGAACAACATTCAAACACTCAGAATTGGCTTTAACTTCCTTTAAGAAAAAGTCACCAAGAACTTTGACGAAGAGCTCCAAAGAAAATCACCTTGGACACTAGGCAGGGGTCTAACCTCTACTACAATCAGATTCTCCATCACCACCCCACCAGCAGTTTCAATTTGCTGAGAAAAGAGCATTTTTTTTTTTTTTTTGCAAGTAGACAGATCATCCTCGTGGGTAAAGTGCCAAAAAACCACAGGCTCTTGTATTCCCATCTGGAACAGACAGACGGGCATGCTAAAAATTTGTTGTTGTGATTCATCTCTTCACTTAACGATCTCATTTCAGGCACTGCTCTTCAAGTTATTTCTCTCCCATCTTGTACATGGCAATCATTACGAAGGACTTTGCCTCCTTAATTCCAAATAAATAATGCAATACCAAACAAAACAATGAACTTTCAGTGCTGCGTGCCTTCACGTTTTATCTCGAGATGGTGCAGAAGCTGCTATTCAGAAGAGAAGATCACATCGCTGAAGAAGGGACGTGACCTAACGGCCCCTGTCTTGCTCACCGGGAGGAACAGTGCGAAACATCTCCCCTCGTGCTTCACAGGTACCCTCAGGAATTTTGCTAAATGCCACAAGGAAATCAACACCGATGTAGAAACACACAAGAAGGGCCAATACGGCCACAAATATCCACGTCTGCCTGGGAACTGCAGCCACGAGGATCTGTCCCAGGCAGCTGGAGGGTGGGAGTAATGCTGGCAGTACCTGTCGCACAGCAACACCTAAAGCATGCCCGATTACAGAGCGATAAACCTAAAATAAAAGGGTACAGCTAAAGCTCCCCTTATCCTGGCCACGTCACAGCTCACTAGAAAGCAGGGCAAGAAAAGAAGCAGCTACAAAAGGGAGAGTTAGCAGATACTCTTAAGGAGGTAACATAACACAGAATAAAGCTCACCGGGCATTTCAGCAAGCCAGTTCCCATTTAAGAAACCCAACGACTCCTTTTCATAGAATCTCAGGTTTAGTCCCTGGCATCTAGAAGATTTCAGCTTCGGTTTTTCGCTCATGAAGGTTCGCATGGTAGCAGCAAGACACGCTGGCGGGGACCGCAGCCAGGGACTGCTGCCACAACTTCACACGGGAAGCACCGTCAGCCTCACCGAGAAGACGAGCTCTGCTGCAAACACAGAGTTCCCCACTCTCTGCTTCAAGAGCCTTTCCCACCCACAGCGTGAAGCTTTTCTCCAGGAGGTTCAGCACCATCCACAAACGCCCGGATCTGCGCTCTGGTCGTGCTCCTTCCAAGCCTTTCCTCCTTCTCCCCCTCCCTCAGGGCCACTTCTCTGACCATGGGGCAGGAGGGTGAGGTGCTGGTTTTACTGCCGGCCTCGCTCACCGGCTTCCTCCTCCCTCGCTCTTCCTCCGCTTTAGACGCGGGCACGAATCGCTCTGAGGATGCGGGGACGGAGGCAGGA